AAATAGAAGAAAAATCTGTTATGACTGACTTGAACATTAAAGAATATAAATGGAAATAATTTTTAGTATGGATAAAAATACCTGTAGAATTTGATTAGATTTTGTTCTAATTTTGGCAAGTTGATTTAGGAAATTGAGATTATTTAAATGCTTCAATATAAATATGTAATGAAATTTTTCAATAACTGATAGAATGTTCAATTAAAAAAAATTCAGATTCTACCTTATGTAAACATTACTCTCCCTTACAACCCACAGAAATTAAAACCAAAGCAGAAACATACAATTCTTTGTTTACTAGGAACTTTTTAATAACATAAAACTAGTGCTATATTAGTCTTGGATTAGAGATTATTACTCCCTGTTTATGGAAGAATTCAAAAGGAAAGTTGATTTTTAGTATGCAAAGCTATTACATATCTATAACATGCTATCTTCATCAGATTTTTCATGGTGAAAAAAATAATTTTTATAGATGAACTACAAAAATATATATTCCTTCTAGTATTCTTCTAGTTGCTTCATATATTTCAAACTTGACATGCTTTTTATTTTAAAATTTAGGTAATATTGATATGCAACACTGTTTATGATTCAGAGGTATAGGGTCACACCTATTCAAGTGTATGTTATCAAACCACACCTACCTCCAAGGTGCCCACAGTCCTCCACCATAGTCCATTGGGTCCCCTCCACACCATGATATCTACCACCCCCTGCCCCTTCTTGTACCCTCAATTCTACAAGTCTTCCAACATTAACATCAATTTCACCCAACTAGGGGCATCAACATCTTAGTTTTGTGGGAGGGGACATTCAGTCACTTAATTAAATTCTTGAGTGAAAACGGAATATTTTGAACAACATCCTGACTTAAGAATTAGGGCATAATGGGTTTCTGGGAGGTGATTTCCTTGTCAAGTTCTGCAGGAATTAATGGGATTGTGAAACTATATATTTGAAAATATATATGTTGAAAAGGTATCAGTGTTTTCATCTAAGTTCTATAAAATGAACTGCTTCAGTCTCTTCATTTCCCTGACCAAAAAAAAAAAAAAAAAAAACAAAAAAAAAACCAAAACAACAAAAAAACTGTGACTTTAATTCTTGTGACTCTCCATCCAACCTGTTGACATTTTGTGAAGAAGGTAGGAGATTGTCAACAGCTACTATTAGAGTTTGCCCTGTTTATCTCCTTTTCCAATGTGTAGACCCCTTAGAAATGATAGGTATACCTTTTATTCACATTCTAGTCTACTCAGTGACTTTCACATCACTGTCTCCATGCTCAACCTCTTATTCAACCCCAAGATTTGGCTTCTTTGACAAGTTAAAGTAAGCACTTACATCTGGATTCTCTGGAAGCCCTGGGGCATTCTTATGAAAAGGTGTGGAACTCACCTGTAAATAGCCTTCTTTTGCCTTTAGGAGAAATCACAGCTTTGTCTCTGACATTCATTCAGCAGCTGTTTTATTATATGCAACATCCAAAATAATGAGTCAGAACAAGTCTTTAAAACATTTAAGGTGTGATTTAATGTTTATAGAAAATTATTCAAAATTCATTGTTCTTTGACCTTGGTATTTATGAAGGTAGGAATAGGAACATAATAAGATTTAAAAAAAACTAGTTGGAACTTAGGATATTTTTTTGAGACATAAGATAGTCACTGTCTTCTCAGAGGTTTTGTGGCTTCTTTGATTTCATCTGCAGCTTCCTGACCCCACCATTTCCAGTCCCTGTAAATTCCTGTCCTTGATGACCATTTAAAACATCACTGTTAGCATAACTTTCTGGATGTGGAGCCTATGACTTGTTCTGTGCTTGATTTTCTGCCTCTTACCCTCTTCTGTCAGAAGACATACTCCTAATCCCTCTAGTAATCCAAACCCAGGTCCTGGGGTTACTGGACCAACCTCATGGAACTGCTTTATACTCCAGCACGCCATAAATGTCCAAGTTGAAAACCAGCTAACAGTGCGTGCTGTCTGTGCAGTTGGAACTACCTTGGCGTCTCTGTGGGTGATGGTTTGAAAAGCTTTGCTGATAACTTCCTAGGAGGAGTTTTGACTTCCTGAAAGAGAAATAATTATGGCCCCTTCCTAGTTGTGGTTACTCCACTGGTTTCCAGAGTTGGTTTGTAGTGCATGACAGACTCACACAGGTACTGACTTTGGTTCATGTCATGTCATGTCTGCCACAGTTTGCAGAGCTCTAGGGAACTGGAGATAAGAGATGTGTTTCCTCCATGCATGTGTGAGGTGCGTCTTGAAGCACCTCAGACTTGTGAATCACCCTCAGGTTCTTTGGGGTTCTTCCCTCCTTCCTTCTAGGCCTTTCCAGGAGCACTGCTCCTCTGCCTAGGAAACTTCCTTCCCCTTTTCCCCTGGCTGCCATCTTCTTCTCTTCCTTTAGATCACAGCAGTAATAAGCATTTTCTTGAAATTTCTTTCCTTCATTGCTGACCCGTGACTAGGTTAGGTTCCTGCTGCACATGCTCATGTTGTCCTGACCTGTTCTGGAACCTGACACATAGTACGTCATGATGGGTGAACCGCTCTTCTCCCTGGTTAGATCATGCTGTCCTAATAGGTGATAAAATGTGGCCAATAAGAAGTGCTTTCTAAATGGGCCTTCCTGCCTTCATTTAGTGACTAATGTGCTGATCCATAAATTTATTTTCACTAAGTCTTTAGGGCTTGGGTGATTTTGCAGATTTTATCTTAAGGAATCCTGTTAAACCTCTTCCTCCTTTTCAGGATAGAACAGGGAGACACTTTTAAACTGATCCTGTGCTAGTGCCCAGCCTGTTGTCAGACAGTTATCTTATTAATCTGTGTCCCTGACTTGACTATAAGCTTATGGACACCAGAAATTGTCTTAGAAATAACTGAGTTGTGCCTGGCACCTAGGTATGCTTTTGATAAACACTGGTAGGGTGTTAAAAAACAATGTGCATAAATCCTGAAACATAATTTCAAACATGTAGATAGAATTTTAAAGCCAATGGAAGCATAGAAGCCCTATATTCAGTATATTATGGTGATAAAATGTCTGGACTCTGCATATAGTCTGGGATTTAAAATCCAGCTCTGCTGCTGCTTTTCTGTGTGAAGAAAAAAGAAACCAGTAGGGTGTTAGGCAAATCTGTTTAGCCATGTATATCCTGTGCTTGCTGTGGACTTTTATTTTGTAGAGGCAGGTGAACACAGATAATAAGAGAATTTAAGATTGTGATAGGATTAGAGGGAAGTAAATGCAGTGAGACAGGAAGAATAATTCTGGTGGGGTGATGGGAGATTAAATGCAGAACCCTGACGGGAGAGCCTGCTATGTGGATTGGTGGGGAGCTGTTGTGGGTGGAGCAAAGGGAGCGGAGAATGATAGTAATAATTTCTTCTGTATGGATTTAGAATAAACTGAATAATTTAATGGTGAAGAATGAAACACAGGGCCAGCAGAAGATGGAAGAAGAGGCAGGAGCCAGGTACTAGGAGGACAGGGTGAGACGTTCACCTGTCTTCAGGTCCAGGGCAGTACTTTGACTTAGTGAAGACAGTGTGATCTCACATTTGGTTTTCAATTTTTTATAGAACCATGGGTTAGATAACTATTTCTCTTACGAGAAACAGCAGTGAAAGTACCATAACAAATGGCAAGTAAGCAATACCAGTGTGATGATAGTGGTGGGTGGTTCTAGACCTGAGTGTGGGACCAATGGGGACTGGGGGCAGCCCAGAATCTCTGGCCCTGAAGAATGGGGGCATCTGTGCCTCAGTGCCAGCCCAGTATTACCATGTGGGGATATGGGCTCCAGATGCCAAATCTGTGAAGCTTTCCAGAGAACCAGACATCTGAGTTTTTGTTCACAGATTTGAAAATCTTGGCTCACATTTAAGAAAACCTTACAATGAGTAACAAAAACGCCTCTGTGGATTGCCCATCTGAAACATCCACCGCAAATCCTTTTCTGTTGTGCTAATGGGATTTAAATAAAATATGCAGATTAACACATTAACCATGTAGCCTTGTTCCCAATATTGAGGGGAAAGAGGTACTTTTCTTTTAATATTATTAATTGAACTGTTAATACGTGTGCATGTCTTCTCTATTAAACTGTTTTGTTAACTTTAAATACTTATTAAACCTTACTCTGAGTGATTAGAGAAGAGCAGTTGCTGTTATTTGCCTATTAATTTGTTTAATTGTTCTATTAATTTATTTGGTGAATTCTGCATCCATGTTACAAAAATAAAGTCTTGTTCATGTGATAAAAGTAGAGCAAAGGATTAGCATTTTATGGTTAATCATTCTCTGCTTATTTACCTCCTTTGCTCTGCAGTGATTGTTCCCTCACTGTTCTTGCAGCTCAGCACATTTGGGTTTCCAAGTTCTTCTGGCCTGTGTTAGTTGCATGTAAGTGGGAAAGAACTGTGGTAAAAAATGCTATTTTGAATCAGGCAAATGATGGGAATGCAGCCTTACGACATGATGTCGTGTTTAGAAGCTTTTCATCAGTTTTAATGGAATACAAATGTGTGCAAAGCAATTTTTTTTTCCCAGAAAAAAGTCTTCATTTAGCATGGCCTGACCTACGTAGTTTTGTATTACAAGGATCATGTTTGGTGTGTTGCAATCCGTTGGCGATTGTCTTGGGGAATTTTATTCAGCGCAAGCATCTCTCATGGTTCTGGCCTTAAGTTGGGTTAATTACTTGTTCATGTAGTTTTTGGTCTTGTCTCTATGTTCAAATTCTGTAGCATTATGGAGAAGAACACTGGGAATAACAAAATATTCTTGAATATTTCTCATAGATTAGAGGCTTATAAAAATGAATCTTGTGTTCCCCAAGTTTTTTTTTTTTGCATTGTTATAAAATGAGATCATTTTGTTACAACAACATAAGGCTACAGATTTCAAAATAATCCTTTTGAGAAAAGTCTTATTTGTAAATACAAATTCTTAATTGAATCATTATTTCTTGCTCTTTTTGTTACAGATCATGGAAGAAACAAATACACAGATTGCTTGGCCATCAAAACTGAAGATTGGAGCCAAATCCAAGAAAGGTAAATTGTGAGAGAAGGAGAAATAGGTGGTTTTGGTAATGGAAACTGTGACATTATTGTGAGCTTAACAGGGAGAACATTAACCTGTATTCTCATATTAGTCTCAAAATATTTTTCCGGTAGCACTATTTTGTGAGGATTGTCATAATTAAAAATAATTGTATAGTCTAACTTATAGCAACAGAAAAAAGGTTTTTCAGTACTTTATATCATAGAAATGTCATTTTAGAAAATGCCACATCAACTTAAGACTTCAAGGATTCCTACTGATTTGCTGGCCATGAGTCATGGTACCTTTCTATGTGTCAGTGTGTTTTCAGCATATAAACTTGTGGTGTTTACATGGTAGGGCTTTTGCATATGTGACACACATATTTGATAGCTGACGCCCCCTCCCCACCATGTGATACAAACCTTTGATTTTCTTTCTTGATTTCTGCTTCTCCTCTCCCTCTGTCAGATGGTGTAAAGCCCGCTAATTTCTCTTTTCAGGTTGAGCACTTTCCCTGTCTCACCTTCCCTCTGCTTGTCCAAGAGGACACCACCTAGTGCATAGAGGACCAGATATTTTCTAAGATTGTAAAATGCTTTCAGATGACCTGACAGCATATAATTTTAAAAATTCATAATTATGTTTATTGAGGTAACATGGGTTGCAATAGCTCTACAAAATGTATGTTGTCACACCATGCCCACAACAGAGACCCCATAATCCTCCACCATAGTCCATTCGGCTCTCTCCCCCTTTGCTCCTGCCCTCTATTCTCCTCTCCTGATAGCCTCAGTTCTGAGGTCAGATTTCAAAGGTGTGTTTTAGCTTGTTGTTGCCTGTTCTTTTGCTTTGTTTCTTTATAGTCCACATATTTCTCCTTCTGGCTTATCTCACTTAAGAGAGTAAGACATAAGAGTGCATATATCCCTTTGATACTGTGAACACAGGAGTGCATATATCCCTTTGATTTAGATGTTTTTCGAATTATTTGGCCGGATACCCAGGAGAGGAATTGTTGGATTATGCAGTAGGTCTATTTTTAATGTTTTGAGAAACCTCTATACTATTCTCATAGAGGCTGAATTAGTTTACTTTCTTACCAGTAGTATATGTGGGTTCCTTTTCGCCACATCTTGCCAACACTTGTTTCTGGTCTTTTTGCTATTGTTCATTCCTTCAGGTTTTAGGTAGTATCTCTGTAGTTTTGCAAATTGAAAATTCTAAAAGAAATGGACAAATTTTAGAATCATATGTCCTTTTAAGACTGAATTAGGAAAAAAATTGGAATAGATGAATTGCAAGCCAAGGAAATTATAATAGTAATAAAAAGTCTCCCAAAGCACAAAAGTCTGGAACCAGGTGGCTTCACTGGTGAGCACTACCAATCTTTCAAAGATAAACTGATAACCTATCCATTTCAAACTCCTCTAAATAACTAAAGATGAGGGAATATTTCCAAACATATTTTATGAAACCAACATTACACTGATATCTGAAGCAGACAAGGTTGCCACACATAAAAAATTATAATCCCATATCCCTCATGAACATAGATGCCAAAATCTTCAACCAAGTGGGGTTTATTTTAGGGAAGCAAGCATGGATCAACATTTGTCGATCAATTGATATAACTCTCCAGATCAACGAAAGGAAAGATAAAAATTATTCAATTACATTAATAGAAGCAGAGAAAACATTTCACAACCTCTAAAATCCACTTATAGTTTTCTTAATAAAATGGGGATTGAAGGAACATGTCTTTTTTTTTCTTAAAGATTTTATTTATTTTTATACAAGAACCAGATGCGAGGCCAGATATGAGGGAGGGTGAGAGGATTCACCAGAGACAGAGTGGGAACAGAACAGGCAGACAAATGAGGTACACTGCTGAGGGGAGCAGCGGGCAAGACAGGAGAGGTCTGCCGTGCCATGTGGGATTCTTGCCAGCCGGCTGGGATCGAACCAGTGCTGCAGAGGCTGTGGACAGCTTCACTGCACGGCACTCAACCGTGCCCTAAAGGAACATATCTTGCCATAATAATGGTCATCTACAACAAACCCATAGCTATCAAAATACACAATGATGAAAGACTGAAAAGTTTTTCCTGTAACATCAGGTACCAACAAGGATGCCCCCTTCACCACTACTTTTTAACTTAATATTGGAAGTCCTAGCTAGAGCAATTAGACAAGAGAAAGAAATGAATGGAATCCAAATTAGAAAAGAAGTAAAACTATCATTATTTGCAGAAAATATACATTAAAACACCTAACAACACTATTAAAAACTCTTAGAAAAAAATAAATCAGTACAGTAAAGTAGCAAGCTACAAAATCAATATCAAAAATTCTGTCACATTCCTGTACAAAAACAAACTAGAAGTGAAAGAAAATAAAAAACAATTCCATTTATAATCACATCAGAATGAATTAGATATCTATGAATAAGTCTAACAAAACAATTGAAAGACCTGTTTGCTGAAAAGTATAATACATTATTAAAAGAAAACACAAGGAAATGGAAAGATACTCCTGGCTCTTGGATTAGAAGAATTGACATTATTAAGATGGCCATCGTACCCAAAGCAATATACAGATTTAATGTAATCCCTATTAAAATCTCATTTGCTTTCTTCAGGAAATTAGAGTAAAAACTACTGAAATTTGTATGGAAACACAAAAGATCTGATTAGCCAATGCAATTCTGACAAAAAATAGGAGAATGGGGATATTATGCTCTAACTTCAAATTATACTATAAAGCAGTAGTAATCAAAATAGACACACAGGTCAACAGAATAGAATTGACAATTCAGAAATAAATCCCCTTATAGACACCAAGAACATACACTTACAGGCACTAAGAGGAAAATCAGTTCAACAAATGGTGTCGGAAAATTGGACAATAAAAGAATGAAGCTAGATTACTATCTCACATGTACATAAAAATTAATTTAAAATATGTCAAAGACATGTATGTAAGATCTGAAACCATGAAATACATAGAACAAAATTAATGCCAAACAGTCTATAACATTAGCTCCAGTGATGTCTTTTAGATTTCAGCTACAATGGTTAGAGAACAGAAAAAATAAACAAATCAGTTTACATCAAATAAAATATTTCTGCAATGAAAGAAACTAACATTAAATCAAAAGTCATTACCAAATGGGAGAAAATATTTGCACATCATACATCTGACAAGGGCCTAGTATCCATTATCTTCCAAGAGCTCATACACCTGAAGGACTAGAGAAGAAATAACCCAATCAAAACATGGCTAGAGGATCTAAATAGACACTTCCCCAAAGAAGACATCCAGTGGCCAGCAGACACATGGAAAAAATGCTCATCACCACTTACCGGGGAAGTGCTAATCAAAACCAGTATATGTTTTATGGGTAGTTTTTCTTTTCAAAAGAAACAACAAACATGTATACCTCATTAATTGATACACATAGTCATTAGGAGATGTCAAAAAAATGCCATCAAAACAATTCCAAACAATGATTTTGCAAGCTGAGTTGTTCATTGTGGCCTTGGGTTTTTTCTTGTTGCCGTTAAGTTTTGTATTTATTGCCTGTTCACCCTATGACTTTTATTGCTAACTGATAGTAAACAGTGCAAGATTTCTCAATTTCCTTATTTCAGTCCAAATTGTTGTCTTTAATTTCATTTTATTAGCTTCGCTCATCAGAGGGAATGTAAATTATTTCATAGTTATTGTGAGTGTTGTTAGCTGGACTTCAATGGACTGGGATTTCAATAGAGCCTAGGGTCTTATTTTTTTGTTATCTTCTGGCAAGGACATAAGAAGCCTATGTGCTAAGCAGTCATAAGACAAGATGGCATATTTCTAAATTTAATTTTATAATTTATATAAACATTGCATTTACCAAGTGCTATAGAATATTGTCTCAGTTAATCTTTACTGTGTTGAGATGTTTTATACTCATTATGCAAAAGAAGAAACTGCCTTATGCCTTAGTGGATTTTCTAATTGATTGGTTGTGGCCATTTAAAAATCCCTGGCCTGCTGCATGAGTAAATTGGAACTTGAATATGGTCTTTCCCTATTGTCAGGTACTTTTAATTACAAAGAACGAAGTGTACTTCATTACTAGCTTAATAAAAATGTAATATGATGCATCCCCAAAGAAAGCCCCCAGGGAAACATGAATATTAAAGTAATTTCAGATAATTCTGCATGACGTATTCTCCTAGATTATCCATGCTACAGTTTTTTCTACCACAAGCATAAGAATCTAAGAATTGATTACTTTTTAATTCAAAATGTAGTTGCAGCTTCAGAGATTTTAGATAATATGGAGATGAGTAGATGAGGTTAAGGTTTTAGATTAGTTTCCTATTGTTGACATACTTAACTCATTCAGAATGACCAACTGTATTCTTTATTTTGCTTATGTTTTGCTTTGAAAATGAGAATATTTCACAGCAATTGGACTTTCAAAATATTCACAAGGTATAAATAAAAGACTACTTTGAACAATATTTTGGACAATATTTTGGGGAAAAAATATTCTGAAATCCTAAGGACTAATGGTTGTCTCTAAAGGATTTAATTTAATTAACTTACATCTAGTTACTCTTCCTTTTCAATGAGCCTTAGCTATTGTTAAATAAGCATATGACTTTTATTCCACTAAAAATCCAATTATAATTTTTACAGAATTAAATTGAATTTATGTTGATTTATAAATTACTTTGGAAGAAATTTGACCGTTTGATAACATTGTCATCCCATTCAAAATAAAGCAATATCTCTATATTTAAAAAAAAAAAAGAAAATGAGAATATTTCAACAGTACATTTGAGGGCACTTAGCATAATTTCCACATGGTTGAAGTTAACCTTTGGAATTGTGCCTAAGAATTGATTCCTTCTGGCATAGGTCTGCAGACATTGTTTTTTATTATTTATGAGGTGCTATGAATGTACGCAGCACTGTATGATGAGCAAAATGTGCCAAAAGAGAGATTGAGCAAAGG